TTTCAGCTCCTGTGGTTTCCATTTTCTTTTCCATTATCCCTATAAACCCCCAATATACTATAGTAGTTTCCATTTGATTTTCCATTATCCCAATATTACCCCAATATTGTTATTCTCCAAGCACGCGAAGTGTGTTTTGTTGTGTCATTGCAGCATGTGTAGGTACCTAGCACCAGCTTCAGTATAAGATTTGTCAGTAGTGCGGCTCGAACGGTCATGGCTCTCACGAAGAAAGAGGCCTTCAGCAAGCTTGTCGACGAGTCCTTGTACGCCTTGCGAGCACAACTGCTAAGCGCTTTCCCCACTGAAAGTGCCCAGGATCAAGGAACAGGGGAGTGGACCACGGGCTTTGCAGCGGCATTCACAAAGGTTGACCGACCAAGTGTGAGTCAGCTCTCAGCACGACACAGCAATGGTTCCGCAGATGATGCGAACATTGCTGCACATGCTGACGACGATGCAAACGGCAACCAAAGCAAAAAACCCTTAGAGCATGCCATGACAGTGGACAGTGAATGGTCTGCAGGTATGGGGATGGAACGTGTTGAGACGCATGCATCAGTTCTGAAGTCTGGCCTCCAACACATGGGTGAGCAGGAGGCCCGGGCCGTCCGACATCGTTTGAGACTCCGGCTGGGAGCTTTGACAGCAAAGAAGTTGGTTTCTGGCAAGTCTCTTCATGATGCCTGCAGTGCCTTGGGCCTGACTCGGTACACGGTGGAAGACATGAACGAACTGCTGAATCTCTTGGCTGACTACATTGACCTGACCTTCGAGGCACCTGACATGCCCACTTCCGGGCGGCGGATTAGCGAGTCTTCAGCTGTCAGCATGTTCGGCTTCCGGGAGAGTGCAGTCAACAGCTTGGGAAAGCCAGTTTGGCAGTGGCCTCAGTCTGGTCGTGACTCTACTGTCAGCTACCATCGAAGTGCCTCCCTCAATGCCCATGTAGATGCCCCTGCACGCTGCCATCTGAATGTGGTGCCAGCGCAACCCTTGATGGACCTCTTTCTTGCGCAGGAGGGAGAGGTCCATCGCAAAGTTTTCGGGCCTCGGATGCTGAAGCAGTTTCAGGCGATGAAGGAGATCCTCTTAGCTGGAGACACAAATCGACTAGTTGCAGAACTCACATTTGTCAGAATTAATGATTTGGCGGCACCACCTGAGCCGATGAATTTGTTGCTGTGCTTGGAGCCCTTCGTGGCATTGATCATCATTGCCAATGGAGTCATGATAGGTTTCCAGACCGATCCGGCGTACCGTGATTGGCCTCACTGGCTCGCTCTTGAAGCTGGATTTGCCAGTATCCTCTTGCTGGAAATTGCCGTCCGTATGTACCTGCAAGGCCGCCGTGCTTTCTTCCGAGGAAATGAGCTGATGTGGAACCTTTTTGACTTGTTCTTAGGCCTCACGGGCCTAGTCGATGTGATCGTCCAATCTGTTTCCTCCAGCGGTGGGGACGTTTTTGGGACTTCGCTCCTCCGCTTCTGCAGGCTGATCCGTTTAGTGCGAATTGTGAAGGTCTTCCGTCTCAAGGTCATGAAAGATCTACGGCTCATGGTTAAAGGTCTCATCGCTGGAGTGAAGACACTGGTGATGGCCTTCACCCTGTTACTTGCCAGCGAAGTGGGTGCACTTGAAATTTGTTGGGCACGGCTTGGCATGGGTTTCTCACGTAATAGCCCGCAACACATGCCGCCCTGTCAAAGTTTGAAGGCATTCAGACATCTCTAACCCTGAAACCTAGGACCCGATCCTAGGTCCTAGAATCTTAGAACTTCATTCGTAAGTTCAAGCTCCTGTGTCCTGAACGCGGCCAAGAAAGATCCCTACACCTGCGACTCGCAGCCTCGGATGCGTGTTTGAGCACAGCGCGCTAGAAGGGGCTCCTGGCTTCCGTAGTTTCTATGGATCTGGTTGTTTCGGCGCGCGTTCAAGATATGTACATATATATATACACATATTTACACATGTACATACACATATCTATACACGTATACACAGAGAGATAGAGAGATACATATATATATATATACATATGTATGTGTGTTGCGTATGCACACAAGCCCTGACGTCTGTAACGCCAGGCTGGGGTATAATGGGGCCTTGGACACTCCCAAAGAAACCTACATGCATTTCAGCAAGCCACATGTTCAACACAACCAACACGCGTAAGTAAGCTTATTTGCCCTGGCCACTCTAAACCTTCCGCTCTGGGGAGCCCCTTTGAAAAGCTCATAATCATGGCCTCCCTAAAGCTGAGGTTGTTTACCGTGCTCTATGTCATCAGCGGCTTCGCAACTATGACGATTGGCATGTCTATTGGTGAGAGTGACCAAGATGCTTTGAGGCGGCTTGAGCCATTCTTCAACACAATCCCGGCATCTATGTTTACAGCCTTCCGCTGCGCCACGGGCGAGTGCATCAATGACGAGGGGCAGCCCATCCAGTCTCTGTTGGCAAACGAGTACGGGCCCTCCTTCATCTTCTCCTACGTTGCCAGCTACATGCTGGTGTCGATGGGGATTTTCAACGTAATCTTGGCTGTGTACGTAGACATTACTATGAAAGCGGCCAAAGAGAATGATGCCGTTACACTCGAGCAGCATTCCAAAGAGTCTGGGTTGCTGTTAAGGCACATAAATTAAACCCTGTATACCCTATATGCCGTATATACCCGGTATCCTCACGCTATGGTAATCTAGCTTGAGTACCTTAAAATCATGGGTTAGTTCCCCTATTACCCCCCCGTTTACTACCCCCCCAGGTTAGATACCCTAAACCTTAAACCCTAAACCCTAACCCTAAACCTTAAACCCTAAACCCAGGATAAACGCAACCCAGGAGTCCATCCGGATTGCCCGGATCACCCGAGAGCTGCTGAAGAAGTTTGCGGGCGCCTATCGCATCTTTCAGGACCATAATTAAGGGTTTAGGGTTTAGGGTTTAAATTAAGTAAAAAAAATTAGTATAAGTATAGTAAAAGGGACCTCGCCCGACCTCACCCTAAATGGTGGTTTATATAGGGAATAGTACCAAAATCTAAGTTACCCTCTCAGGACCAGGAAGACAGCAACGTTGACAGGTGCATGGATATCTCCAACAGACGAAGTGACATGATGTTTACGGATGGTGATGTTCATGAAGGGATTGCCATCACCAAGGAGTTGTTTCTCATTGTTACTGGGTTTCCATTGCATTTTCCATTTTCTTTTCCATTTTAGGGGGTTTATAACCCTAAGCCCTAAATCCTAAACCCTATAGAAGATCAAAGGAGTGCTTCAATAAAACTATATACCCTATATACCCGTCATAGTAGTTAAATATACCCTATATACCCATGATAGTCGCTTAAGTATACCCTATATACCCATGCTTGTAGCTTAAAGTAAGCTCCTGAACAGCAACCCAGGTTATTCAGGATCGCAGAGTGCAGGACCTCATGGACGAGCTCGAGCTTCCTCCCGATCGTGCCAATCTCTTCGAGATTCTGGGTTGCTGTTTAGGAACTTCTGGGTTTTAGGGTCTAGGGTTTAGGATTCAGCCTTTAGGATTTAGGGGAAACCCTATTAGTTACCTGAACCCCACAGGTATGTAGAATCCTGGCCTTTTGGGCTATTTCTCGGGGTTTTGGGTTATTATTCTACCTACATTTAGGGTCCAGGTACTATATATACATATAAATATATACCCACCATGGTAACTTAAATCAAGTTCTCTACAGCAAACCAGGATTATTGATGCAGATTCCAGCGGCACACTCCACATTACCGAGCTTGTCCATGGGCTTTTGAAGATCCGGGGCGAGATCAATAAGAGCGATGTGGTGGCCGGGCTGCTGGCAACGAAGGCATGCTACGAGAAGATTAACGAGCTGAAAGAGGAGTATCAAGCCACTTGTTCAAGGGTTTAGGGTTTAGGGTTGTTGATATCTAGGGAGATCCCCTTCAGGGTATATAGGGTATCTTGGGTATATAGAGTATCTAGGGTTTAGGCGTAGGGTTGGTACCCCAGTAGTACCCTTTTAGCCTTTTCATTTTGGGGTTTACTGAAGCTGAATACTATGAAAAAGGCTACCCTTATTAAGAGGATACTGGAAGCTTAGGCCAGCATGGCAACTTTTGGCAACCAGTTGGCGGTGTTGCGCTGGGAGCTGCAGAGACCTAGCAGTAGCGAGTGCACGCACCCAGACGACGGTGGGATGCAGCAGGAGACTGGGTTGCTGTTAACTAAGGAGCTTAAATACTTACTATCCCTACACCCTACAATAACAAGGAAACCCCATTTTGAGTTGTATACAAATATTATGGTAACTTAGTTTAAGTTCCTTAACAGCAACCCAGGAGGTGCAAGACAACATCTTGCCTCCCCAAAGCTCCAAGCCGGCTCCCTTGATGATGCAGGTACCGCGGTTTAGGGTTTAGGGTATTAGGGTACTGGCCAGGCTTGGCCCGACTCTGCAACAGTTAGATCAGATGAGGTATATAAATAGATAAATAAATAAATATATATATATAATCCTTAATCCGGTCCCTAATATAGACTGTTACAGGGCGGGATATTCCTTATACAGTCCTTAAACCCTAAATTAGGCTGCTGGCAACAGGTACCCAAAAAACCAGAAGTCGACGAGAGCGAAGATCCATCCCCTCCGGCTCCTGAGGGAGCCTGAAGACTGTGAAAAGCCCTAAGCACGAGGGATCCATGTCTAAAATGTTTAGGGTTTAGGGTTTAGGGTCCCAAAGTCAATAACCAAAACCATTTTTTCGCCATGTGGGTCCCTAGGGTGTTTTTGTCATCTTAAGTCGCAAAACGAACTTCCTGAAGGGAAGCGGAATGCGAAAGAACAGGAAGGAAGCGTGCTCGCCGTGCTGTGCAAATGTGTTACAGCATGCCAAGCTATGACATGGAACGCTAGCACATGAGCCATAATCTAAACTCCTTAAATGGGTTTTCTGTAAAGGATTCTATGGACTACTATGGGGGTTATTAGGGGGGGTACTAGGAGTTTAGTATGGCTGATGTGAGGTTTTGTTCGCAGAGGACACGCGTGCAAAGTAAGTCTGATATTCGCTAGACACAGTATGTGAATGAATTTTGCCTGCTCAGAACTCTGCGCAGACAGTTTGAGCAAGGTAGTGAATGTTTCAAAACGATCCCTGGCAGCGCTTTCTGTTTGGCCCCTGTGGATTGATGTTTTGCATTCGCTCGGCAAATGCCGGGTTCTGGTCGAAAGGTGCCGACAGGAAAAACAAATTATGTTGTCTGTTTGCTCTGCGATGCATGCCTGCTGAAGCCTTCGCTCACAGCTCACGCACTGTATCACATGATGGGCACCGGACCCTGCAGGGACTTGATCTACTTCAACAAAGTCTGGAGCGCCAGACACTGAGATGACCAGGGATCTCTAATTTTTGGAATCCTCCACATGAATCTATTCTCGCCGGATACAAAACCACCCTAGATTAAGATTATCTGCTATTCTGCTTTAGCATGCGACCACTAAGCTATTGTGAGGGAAAGGGAACATCTGAACAACCCTGAACCCTAACCCTAGACGGCCCTGAGCCCCACTGGATGGGGAAGCGATGAGGGTTGGCCCTGTTGCCAGTTCTTTGGTCAAGGCGGTGTCCTTGGAGGTTTATATGGGGGTTTCCTAGAATTAGAGGTACCTTTTTTGGGGGTCCCAAGAATAAGGATTACAGCATGTTGGGTCTATTTGGGGTCCGTTTATTTAGGGCAACTACCAGATAGGGTCAGTACCCTAACAATGGAGTAGCACAGGGGAAAAATAAAAGTGTAATGCCAGCCTAGGATGCAAATTGGGTTTATAGGATTTTGTACCCGTTCTCAACATACGCACACACACATAAGTGTGTATATATACATATAGATATATATATATATGTATACACGTATGATGCGCGTGCATTGCAGGTTGTCGGAATTGTTGCCCTTCTTGGGATTTATTTTGCGATACCGCCCCTTGCTGATGGCTTTAGCGGAGGACAACAACAAGGACCCCCCGATAGATAGATAGATAGATAGACAGATAGACAGGTTTATATATACACACACATATATATATATATGTAGGGTGTAGGGTTTAGGGTATCAATACAACCTTAGCGTAGGGGCTGGCCATAGTAGGTCCTAGAAATTGAAATGCCCGCAAAAGGGCGTAGGCCTAGGTCTTGGCCGAGGTCTTTGATGGAATTGATGCTGACCGTGATCGGCGACTCACAATGGGTGACTGAGTGGCACGTTGGGATTTTTGAGTTTAAGAATTTCCCCTAATTGCTAGAAAAGGGGGAACCTATTGATAGATAATTCGGGGAAGCTTTGAAGTACCACCCCAGCTTGCACATTCAAGTGCACCTACCCTAAACCTCTTTTCGGGAGGCTTAAAGTACCACCCAGGTGAATTTCGGAATGGCTTGTCACTGCTTGGCATGAGTTCGGCGAGAAGCTCAGATGTAGGGTTTGGGGTTTAAGGCTGTGGGGTTTAAGGGTTCAGTGTTCAAGGAGTTAGGGTTTAGGGACGTTGAGGTTATTCCGGGCACTGTCACGTTGTAGCCTTATGATGTATCCCTCTCTATTCTAACACCCCCCCCTCTAAAACCACATGCAACACACATAGCAGGGCATATGTGATATTAGGCGTGTAGGAGTGCTTTCATCCTACCAGTGCTTAGTAGTTAAGAAGGGAATATTAACCCCCACATAAACCCTACATAACCATACATTCCCTGACTCCCTACTAACCCGGTAAGAACCCTATACTAGATTCCCGTCTTCCGTACTAACCCTAAATCCTAAACCCTATAATAGTTTCCATTATTCCCTACTAAGCCCCAGCAAGTCATGTTTGTAGCGGAGCTTTTGGCAGAACCCTAAACCCTAAATCCTAACCTTGAACCCTTTACCCTAAATCCTAAACCCTAAACCAGTCTCTGCTGTGCTTGCTTGTGCGATGCGCGTGTCTAAACCCTGAACCCTAAACCCTGAACCCTAAACCCTAAACCCTGGGTTTTGTACTTTGGAAAATGGGTCTCTGGTGAGAAGCTGCCAGTTCCTGGAAGTGTTATGGCGTAGATATGAGTGCAACAGGGTCACACGTGAGGCTGCGCCTGATGGTAGTCTATGGTTGGGGGCTCTTGTATGGTGTGGATCTTTTACCTGAGTGTGGAAATGCCTGACGTGTGCTGCGCTCTGAGTACTTTTCCGCAGGCATTGCCAGCTGAGGCCAGACTCATGCCTGTCCTTTTTGGACTTTTCTGCTCTGCAGGTAAAAGAGGCTCAAAAAAAAAAATAACAACAATAAAAAAAACCTTAAACCCTGACGGACAGTGTGGCTCCCAATGCCAAGGTGGTCAACCCAAAGTCCCTCTTCGATAGCCTTGACAGGCGGGGTTTAGGGTTTAGGAATTAGGGTTTAGGAATTAGGGTTTAGGAATTAGGGTTTAGGGGTTTAGGGTTTAGGAATTAGGGTTTAGGGTTTAGGCGAAGAACGACTACTGCGTTCCTGTTAAGGAATTTAATTTGAGTTGTCATGTTATGGGTCGATAGTAAATAACACTTGGAGTAGCTCCCTCAAACTAACACACAACCCCTGAAAGAGGCTTTTAAATAGGATGGGCTAGTATGTTAGTTTCAGGAGAGTCAACAGCCAGGAACCGGTGTGGACTCATTCTCTTCGATGAGTTTTGTCGCTGGGTCGCGTCTGCCGGGGTCTCGGAGTGATTGGGGTTTAGGGTTTAGGGTTAGGGTTAGCTTTGTAGCTGTGAACCTTTTGGGTGTCCCCTCCGTAAAGCCCTCAGAACTTAGGTTTCATTTCATTTTCGATGTTCTTGCCCAGTTGGTTCTGCATTATTGGGTGCATTAATCCATATAGCCCTACGCTACCTAAAAGGTCAAATTTCGGGGGCAAGTGAACTCAGCAACTAGTCTTGGCTATGTCAAGTTAATGGGCGCAATAGTGGTACAACCAGAGGTGGCAGCGATAGCGCTTACCAGGAAAGTATTTGAATTGCTACTTTAGGGTTTAGGGCTCACTAGTTCCATGGACACCAAGGGCTGCAGCATATGAGAATTTTGTAAAGTTGTTCCCATGTACTAACCCGAAGAGGGAAGCTCTATAACTATCCGCGGTACAGCCTTGGAGTAGCATTTCTACCATCCCTATTTAGTTTTTTTTGGTTTTTCTGCTTCCATGATGGTTGTGTCTGTGACGCGCTTTAAATTCTCATGCAAAACAGCACCACAGCGTCACAGTCCCCGTTAAGTAGTTAGAGTATGGCTTTGGGTATATTAAATTAAGCTCCCCATATGACTCATATTCTATCTACTTAAGGGGGACTAGGGGCTTCCGATCTGCTCAATCTCCGCTGGCAGTGCATGCTTTGAGCTCTGCCTAGGAGGAGAACCTCCCCTCACAAACGCTGCGGATTTAGGGGTTTAGTGGGCCCCTTGGCTAGGTCCAAACGCAATCAAATGGTGCTCACCTCCATCCCCGAAGACCCCAAGCGCCAAATCCTATTTAGGGTTTAGGGTTTAGGGCCATTTAAAGGGGACCCAAGAATTGTCCGAATAACGGACATTAAAGGTCATTTTACAGTCCCCATGCAAGCTTCGACCCTTGCAGTGCCTCCCCCCGAGCCAGCCATGCCAGTGGCAAAGCCAAACCCCTGAACGCCTTAACCCCTGAAACCCTGAACCCCCAGACCCTGAAACTTTCAACCCCCAAACCCCTAAACCCCTGAACCCCTAAACCCCTAAGACCCCTAAACCCTTAACCATCCCTAAACCCTAAACCTCTAAACCCTAGTGCAATGATGCAAGGTTCAGTGTCCGGTGGATTCCTCGGTCTACACAGCCCCGGCTCCAGCCTTGCATTCTCCCTCAGCCAAACACCACTCAAAGGCCACGCTTGGAGTGGTTTAGCATTTAGGGTTTAGGATTTAGGGTCTGGGTTTAGGATTTAGGGTTTAGGGTCTAGGATTTCAGGTTTAAGGTTTGGGGTTGTTTAGGGCTGGTTTTCAGTCTACAGGCTGGTTCTTTGAAGCATTTTGAAGCTATGCAAGCCCTCTCGTGCAACAGGCCGTGCAACATAGCCATTCCGCCAAGACCCAGATCGTGTGGCCTTGCTGCACTTGAAAACATATCCCTAGGGATCCATGTCTATAAATAGTACCTACAGTGCACCCCAAAGTCTATGCATACATCTACCTACTTCGGGCTATTTGGATTCCTAGGGTATGGTAGCTGCTCAAAATCGGGGACCCCAATATAAACCCCCATGTACTATCATCCCTATTCTCCCCCACGTACTATCATCCTTATTCCTGGGATCCCCAATAAAGGTACCCTTCATTTTGGAAAAACACCCACATAGTAGTACAACGAAACTTGGAGTTGGCATGACTTGCCTTAGCTCAGCTGTAGGAATCAGTTTGAAGTGGCGGAGAAGAAGCTGCAAGCTCTCCTGAAGGTGGGGCATGGTCCGTGGTCACTTGGGAGTCTTGTGGTATTGCCGCGAATGCGGCAGGTCGTTGACACGCCGAAAGGAATATGAACATACATAGGTTTAGGGGCCGCCAAGTATAGTAGGAATATTGCCCCGATATTGCCCCGACAATTGAGAATCGAGTTGGCAAGCACATTGAAGGTGAAACGGAAACTAAACCTTAAACCCTACACCCTATACCGTAAAGCCTAGTCAGGACAAGCGGCAACTGCACCAACTTTGGCGCAAGATGGCGTCCTGGATGCAGACGAGATCTGTCGGCCTCTGCTGTCAGAGCAGAAGCCCTTTGGGGGGTTAATAGGGATTAAGGGAACCTGGAGATAATTCAGGGATTTACGAGCTATCGTCTAAACTCCTGAAAGGGGATTCTATAGGGAGCAGAAATTACTGCGGTGACTATGGCCACTAGGAGTTTAGATTGTAGCTCATATAGAGGTAACATAGGGCTCTCCTAATCCTATATAATATAGGGTTCTCTCAGGACTACAATGGAAACGGCCTGGTCAGCCTCGCAGAGATGGATGGCTGCGTCACAGACACTCAGCCTCCCGGAGAGCGGCCACAACATGTCAGAAAGGCAGAAAAGTCATAATTCTAGGTTCTTGAGCTACCGCGTAGTCAAATCGCTGAAATGGCAGATGGAACGCACATACTTTCAGGTAACCCATGAAAGTGAAGGGCGGACTGAAACAACTTGTACTGGAGCATGGGGAGCAGTTGACATGGTGGATGCCTGCATGAACCACAGCCAAGAACCGGAAGACTATACCCTACACCCTATCACCCTATAACCCTAAACCCTACAACCCTAAACCCTATAACCCGAAACCCTACAACCCTATAACCCTAAATACAGGGAAGCTGCACAGGCACACTGCCATTGATAAGCCCAGCAATCTGCTTTAAGCCAGTTGTCGCAAGCGGAGTTAGCTCTTATCTGGTTTTGGTGTAGTAAAGGCAGGCTTAAGTTTGCCTTCGGGTTTAGGGGTTAGGGTTTGGGGTTTAGACTTCCCAAGTCCCCTTTGAAGCACCTGGAGTGCAAGGATTGCTTCCCTGAAGCGAACAACAAGCCGGCATTGATGCTTCTCGGCGCAAGATGCAACTGGTAGATTCTGAAAAGTCATATTATGGGTCCCTTTAAGGGGTATTATGGGTCCTTTTAAGGGGTATAGAGGATGCATATCGGGTCCAGGGCTTACGATCACACTTCACTTCTGTCTGACCATCTCAGGCGGGCATACAAGGCGACAGTGCGCAACCCCGACGGCTATGTGCACAAGAGCTTCAGCTTCAAAACAAATACCTGAACTATTGTCTAAACTCCTTAGAGGAGGTTATACAGGGGTGCTATCTAGGTGAGTGAGTATTATCAGGGTTATTATGGAGATACTTGGAGTGTAGACTATATAGCTCACGTGGACCCCTAAAGTAGGTAAAATTATGGCCAGAAACCCCTAACAGCCAAAGAGGCCATTATGCCACATACTTTGGGGGTCCAGGCAACCAGGAGTCACATCCCACCTAAATCCTAATCCCTAAACCCCTTAACCCTAAGGCCTAAACCCCAAACCCGAAACCCTAAGCCCCAAACCCTAAACCCTAAGCCCCGAACCCTAAGCCTCTTCTTTTCTTGCCCTTTGAGGAGTGAGTTCCGGGCACTCCTCCGGAACATGCTCCACATCTGGAAGATTTTGGCACCCCTGTGCTGGCTGGGGTAAGTAGGGAATAAGGGAATATGGGGATTATATAGGGGCTACAGGGATTTTATTGGGGCTACAGGGATTTTACTGGGGTTACAGGGATTATGTTGGGGTTATAGGGATTGTACAGGGTTATAGGGATTATATAGGGATTGACTCTAGGGGTTCTACCGGGAGTATATTCCTTTATTACCTACTAGCTGTGGCCAAACTGGATGGAAGTGTGGGATTGTGTGGAGCTCATTTCCGGGACGCCGGCTGAGGTTCTACTTCAACAAGCTCTACTCCTTGTATGAGACACGAGGTCGCACCTTATTGGTTTTAGGGCTTAGGATTTCCGAAGCTACGCAGCTGCAACTTGTCACCACGCACCGATCCAAGGGTGGTGGATGTTGACGATGACCGGCGAATGGACGCCTGACACGCACCACCTGGGATTCAGTAATACCCTCCCTATAATATGCAACCCGCACACCCGACCCCTCCCCCCAATATTAAATAGTCCCAAAATACGATAAGATACCACATAAGGAACGCATTTAATATTAGGGGGTGGGGGGTTTAATATTGAGGGGAGGGGATTACCCAGAATCATAGAAGCGACCAAAGCTTGCGCAAGCATTGAAGAGTCTACGCAAAACATGTGGGTCCCTTTCCGAAGTTCTCCATATTAAGGTTTATCGTATTTTGGTGCAGCCTAGGTGGGAAAAAGCTAAAAAGAAAACCATGTAATATCACGTATGATGTTAGAGTCTCTTTTAGGTCTTCTAGTATAGATATAGGGCTTTGGGTATATTATAACCAGATCCCCATATACCCCATATTCTCTCTACTTGATGGGGACTAGAACACTGGAGTTTGATAGTGAGCCAGCGAAAATGATCCGAAAAGCAAGGACTTGAATGAGTTCCGCGGTGGCTGCTCAGTTCTGGGCCTTAAGCTGACTCCAGCTGAAGCCTTCGACGAGCCTCTTAGCTTACCTTATGAGGGTTTAGGGTTTAGGGTATATGTAAGGCTCCCAATAATGCACCTACATCCTGAAGGATCGATAGCCTTAAACCTTTGACAATCATCGAACCCGAGCCCTGAAACATCAATGACATGAAGCCTGAAACGTCAAAAGCCTTCAACACTGGAACGTCAACAGCATGAAGCCCTGAAATGTTAAAAGCCCTGAAACATCAATAGCATTTAGCTTGAAACGTCAAAAGTTCTACTCATACACTGGAACATCAATATTAAGCCCTGAGATGTCAAAAGCCCCAAGCTTGAAACATCATCAACATCAAGCCATGAAACGTCAAAGTCCCTAAACCTTGAACATCAACCCCTGAAACAACTCAGCCGTGAAAGCTCGGAACTGACAATCCCCTTCGGCAAGGTTTAACTTCATGGCGCCTGGGCAGCACCAAAATCCATTCACATGGCCTGCCAAAAGCCTAGGGTTAAATACATATATAAACATAGGTGTATAGATATATATATATATATGGATGTGTTCATATGTATCTGCCTGTTTAAACATGTGTACTTACACATATACATGTGCACCAAATGGGAACCTTTGTTTCTCTATGTTCCAAGTGTTTGCCAAGGACGAGAACGGGGGCGGCAAAGTGCTCTTCGATGAGTTCTGCAAGTGGGCGGCCGGGCGGAAGCTGCAGCTCGGACTTTGGTCTCGGGCAGGTTGAAATGAGCTACGGTCTAAACTCCTTAAAGGGGGTTATATAGTGGATTTTATATGGGGATATTATAAGGGGTAGTAAGGGAGATAGATACTAGGAGTTCAGACAATGGCTCAAATGCAGTGATGCCCGAAGCTTGAAAATTTGCAATATTATGGTCCTAGATTCCCTGTGCAGCTGTGGTATAGGGAATCTCTGGTAGCTCTCAGTATGATGTTGGTGCTTAGCATGGCTTCTACGTAAACACCTCGGATACATCCTCAGGCCCATTGACTGAGTGAGCCTGCGATTTACGACGACGGAAAGAGGAGCCGGTTTCACAGAATTGTGGTTTCCAGAAAGAAGGGGGTCCCCAACATAAACCCACAAATGTTAAGCCTCATTATGCGACCCCCGCCCAAAGTGGTAGCATAACCACCCCCAAAAAGATATTCCTTATTTGGGGAACCCACTAAAAAAATGGTAGTACCCCTACTTTTCGGAAACCCCCGTGAATCTGCCCTGGCAGTTGAAGATCAACTCTGGGAGCGTTGTGGCTATCAAGGTTAAGTCATAGACCTTTGGCCATCGCCTTTACCTACTGTTGCGTTAGGGCGAGTGAGAAGTGAAGGCTCTAGTGCCGCTATAACGGTTTGTTGAGGATTAACTTTGATAGGAGTATCGAAATTACGTGTACATATATGTTTTTCCCGCAATAGGTTTTTTCATGCCGAAGATATGGGGATCAACTCTCACCAGGCTCCTTTTCGCAGCAGTACGTCAAGCTTCAATCGCTTGAAACCTCTGACCATCTCTTACCGCTTATGGGCTCAGACAAGACTCTGGCCTGAAACATCCTATCACTTGATGTGGACTGCTGCTCTTACTGGAAAACTGGAAGGCTGCCTAGACGTGCCCAGATATTCAGCATTTGCCTCGGAGTTCTACAGGCTTCTGACGAAATCGTTGCGAAGCTTGGGAAGTATGCATGAGCTGTGAATGGGGGAATGAACCTTTATTGCAGTCACTATACAGCCCCTGATGATGACTTCTGTTAAAGTTCCCTAAGCCCTGTAAACCTTCACACCCTAAAGGCCACCCATAACCACCTCCCCGTTTCATCAGTATATCAGCCTGAGAGGTACGCCGGCCTCAAAGTCGAGTCTGTAGCAGTTGAAGTGAATCAGCAGGCTCCGGCGGCGCATGAGTTCGGGTCATTGCAAGCGGTGGACACACTTTCATTACAAACTATAGTAATCATATTGGTACCACTAAGAGTAGTAGGGCTAGTAACTAGTAGAAATGATAGAAATAGTTGTAATAATAGCAATATTAGTCAGCGTAGTATTAGGGTCAGTTTCTGAACACACTGAAAACTTTACCTTCTAAGCGGTCATGAGTGCGCGAACATGATCCAGCAGTCCCCTAAACCCTAAACCCTAAACCCCTGTTGTCATCCGGTGCAGCGGACGGCTTTCCCCTACGTTGCCTGCTGTTCGGGATGTGTAGTTTAGCCATTTAGCCATTTGACCCGGATTCTAACCTTGCGATGCTGTATGGCCATGCAAGCGGCAAAACCCTTGTTTGAGCATCCGGGTGCTTTCTGACAGGCGCTTGCGGTGTATAGCCTCAACTTTGGCACCTCACCTGCAACGATGTTCTCCACCACCGCATAGCATACAGAATGGCCTTACTTGATCTTAATTGAGTGTAGTACAGGTCCCGATACTTGGGGTCCAATTATTATGCAGGTCAGTATGCTGTATAACATGGTTTCCTCCACTTGGTTCAAGAGTCATCGAGGCAATCTCTCACATGGTTTGAAAACATGCGGAGCTTGATGCATGTAAAGCATGGCGATTTGGCATCCAGGGTGCACAAAAGAGAACTCATGATTTATTGACATCTACCAGGTGTCGTGTGTGGCAGGCATGGTTTCTGCACATAAGGTTCAGATGATCTAGTCAACCGAGACATTTGCAGCGCGGCGCCCAAACCTTCTGCAGCAGAGAAGCCGAAATAGTTATAATCTATAATCCCAGAACTATCATCTCCTTACCTGTTCTTAGTAGGGACTATAGGAATATGTGATGCAGGGGTTATATATAGAGATTCTATTCTTTGATCCCCTACTAAGAACCAGTAAGTCGTGGCTATGCTGGGGCTAAGACCTTCCTGTGTTTTTGTACTGCAAGGAACTCCTGGATACTGCCCCCACCCGTTAGCAGCTGGATAATGTTTGTAATATGGGCTACATAGTCTAAACTCCTTAAGGGGGGGTGTGTTATAGGGGACTAACTGTTAACTGTTACGGTGACATGTTTTAGATAAGTGGAGGGCGGCCAACCCCAACGTGCCATGGAGGTAGTATATAAGATCTATTTAAATCCGGATGTTTTCCTGTTTAGATTCAACTCCGGATGTCTTAATCGTGGGCGGCCGGACGCCATGCTTTGCGGAAGTAGTATAATATACTTGTTCGGTGGTTTACGTGTCCGGATGTATAACAAGCTTCGCCGTAACCCGAAGCCCTAAACCCCAAACCATAAACCCTAAGCCCTGACCCAACGAAAGTCATGCTTCTTGGATTTTCCATTGCAAGCCTAAGCTCTGAGGCCTTACGCCTCGATGGCTGCTTGGATATGCGATGTTGTTGCTGTTTGGGTTACAGACAGAATATGGCTTTGGGTTTATTGTAATAAGATTCCCATATACCCCATATATCTTTCTTTGACAATTTGCTGCTGCCCGTTTTGGGGTTCTTACGCTAGGTTTGAACGGCAGCAGTGCCGAATTTGGACAATGTCACCGCGCTGAGCCCAGCAATTAGCCGAGCCTGTTCAGTCCTTGAGCTGCTGGTGAGTGGGAATGGTTGAGGGTTTTAAGGGGATCCCGCAATATTAGTGCCCGTGGAATCACATAGAAAGGTTACTAGCCCTAGAACCTTTAGCGGCCTTGCGTTTCCATCTTCTTTCCATCCCTCATGAAAACCATCTGCATTTTCCTTTGCAGCGAAGACCCTACACCCCAAACCGGAAACCGGAAGTGGCAACATCGAAAACCCTACAGGAAAAGTCCGAGGGGTTAACAAAAACTAGAGCAAACCCTAAACCCCAAACCGCGCATGTTAAGTCATGGTGGACCACTTTGTTGAGGCCATGTCAGCCCTACACAAGGCCGGCACTGAGCGAGCTTTCCCTCGATGTGTGGTGCTTCCTACAAGCTTAGTGGTGCAGAAGGGGGAGTTTTGGGGTTTAGGGTTTAGGGAGCAGGGGGTGAACATAGGTGTTCTACTGGGGGTATATCTCTGTGTGTGTACATATGTTTGGGGGTTCTGACGGCTGAGATCCACTTCCGCACTTCCCCCTAGGCACCAGAAAGACGTGAGAATCACTCCCTACATTCCCCAAAAAGCTATATGCCTCAAAACGGGTGCCCGAAGTTTGGAAACCCACATGTTGCGGGAGCAAAGAGAGCAGTGGACTGAGGCAGGGCAAAGTGCTTGATGCAGAGGCCTGGCGAGAGGGTTAAGGGCTTGTACCCCTGGGTTTTGGGATCCTTTAGCGGGACCCAAGGGAACTAATTACATTGGCCTATATAAGGGCAAGAATAGGGCCATGTTGGGGGAAACCTTGCGGGGGTACAGCCAAGGAATCCATGACCGGTGAGGGGGTAGTGCTTTTGATGGGGATACGCTAGCCATAACATAGCATGGTGGTAGTGTACAAGACGTGCATAGGTGTTTATACACATGTGTAAGTAATCGCCTATACACGTATGTATAGATGTATGCATATATATATATATGTAAATGCATGTCTGTATGCATAGATGTGGCCACAACATGAAGCAAGATTATTGTAGCAAATTGTAAGACATACTTCTCATATGAGCTATAGTTTAAGCTCCTCAAAGGGGGTTATATAGGGGACTACTATACCCTAAACCCTAAACCCTAAACCGTAGGGGGTATTGTGGGGGACACTAGGCTATGATTCATCCCTCCTCAGGATGCTCGGGCTCGCCCTCTGCTGCACATCATCTCCGTGTTGCGGGAGGCATGCTTAGGGTTTAGGGTTTAGGGTTTAGGGTTTTGTTGGGGACTATTGGGTAATATAGGGTAATATAGGGGTTATATAGGGATAATGGAAAAGAAAATGGAAACTACGATTTAGGGTTTAGGGTTGATTGTTGTTATCCAGGGCTTTAAGGTTTTTAAGGTTTAGATTTAGGTGGGCCCCCTCCCCCAGTAATAGTGGTTATAGGGGATAATAGGGATTGTACTAGGGACCTCTTGTATTCTTATTATACCACTGTTACAGCACTGGGAGACATGTTTGAGATTGGGGCTTGAGGAAGGGCAGTGTTTCATGTTAGGAGGAAGTGATTACTGTAATTGCTTGCTTGCTTGCTTGCTTGCTTGCTCGCTTACCTTGCCCGAACTGCAGGTGACTACACCACCGGAGGCCATTGTGCTTGAGCCACCCAATGGCACAGGAAGGTACAAGGAGGTGATATATGAGGGTTTCCCAAAGTGGGTGCGGTACCTTTTGGGGGGCCGCATAATGAGGATTATTTTTGGGTCTATACTGGGGGTCGCCCTATTTTGGGAAACTACCATATTATGGACCTTCCTGGTATGTACTTAGGCCCTGATAGAGGGTAGGTGGAGGGCTAAACCCTAAGCCCTAAACCTTAAATGCAAGCTAGGAATGTGCGCAACTTCGAGCAATCTGAGTCCTACCTGCTCCTTTGTGAAGTCCCGGGCTCAGAGGCGATCCGACATGGTGTTTTTCCCTAAAGAGGGGACCCCAAACATAAGCCCCAACATGCTATAATCCTTCTACAGGACCCCCAAACGAGGTACCCCTAATTTTGGGAAGCCCCCACTCTAATGCGGTCACAACCCCGCCGCCCCACAATCGGACAAGATCATGCCTGCTCCCTGCAATAGACAGAAGTAGTTTCCAAAACTGGAAGAACCCAATATAGACCCCAAAATACTATGATCCTTATTATGGGGAACGCCAAAAAAGTACCCCTAATTTTGGTAAATCCCCAGAACATGCCATGAAGGATGAAGGCAGTCTGCTGTCTCAGGCTCTTCGCTCTCGAGGTTACGACTGGCGGAGTTTTCTGCTAAGCTCGGCCCATACTGCTTATTAGGGGTACATAGGGGTTATAGGGGCTGTATAGGGGTTACAGGGGCTTTCTAGGGGTTATAGGCATATGTTTGTTTTTGATCTCGTGTGTGTATTGCGTAGAAATTGACCTGCGCACAAGACACACATTTTCATGCATACTCACATGCGTATGATCATTGCTGTGCTCCAAGCTTCTGGTTATTATGGTATATTAAAAAAATCTAGTATATTAGAATAAGTATATTAGAAAATATTCTAGTTTATTATGGTATATTATGACATGCTTGAGTGTATAAGAAATGGAAAAGAAAATGGAAACTACTATAGTATTTTCGGGGCTTCTGCGAACCGGCGGGCGCCTGAGGTCCGCAGCAATTTGGTTTTCCGAATGCGCGGCTACGTTTCTACATGGCCAGCGGCCCAAGGGTCTATCTAGGACTGGGATTTTGGCTAGCAATGGTGCAATCCAACCAGGCCAGTGCATATTACATCTCTTAACGAGCTGAAACGATTCCAGTGTAGAGAAAGTGCGGGTATCCGTTTCTGAACTCAAGGAACTGTTTTGGCTGGATTTTGAGGGAGCATGTTCCTGGAGAGTTACGTTATCAAACTAACATGAAGAAGAGAGACCCCATATGGTAGCTCCCCAAAATAAGGTTACCCCAATATAGACCCCAACATACTATAATCCTTATTCTGGGTACCCCCAAGAAGGTACCCACATGTCCCATAGATTTTTCCATCTGCTCAGTTTATTTGAAAACTTGCGAGGTGGCAAAGCGCAGGCCAGTCAATATGCCAGCTGAGAAGTCATCCGATTCCCTTTTCCATTATACCAATATACCCTCTATATACTATAATATTTTCCATTTTCTTTTCCATAAACCTTATACTATAATGTACTATAATATGTTATACTATACTAGAATAGATTAGAGTATACTATAATATACTATAATATACTAGAGGATCCTGGATCCTGGTACGGGCCTCCTAATAGGCCGCTATGCTTCAGACGAGTCGGAGACATGGAACGAGCAGGCGCCCCGGGCTGCGCACTTCAGGGTTTATACCCTAAACCCTATAAACCCTAAACCCTAAACCTATAGGGTCTCAAAATGAGCAAAGGCTCAGGGTACTAAATGCATCGTCTAGGTATACGAAGTAAAGGTGGCCCTAACCTTGCAAATACTTTGCAGATGTCCTATCAAGCAGCAGCTATAGCAAACCCAGACCCCCTTAAAGGATCCAAAAAATGGACCCCCATCAAAATCCCCTAGTCAATAATCCCTTAGTTTCCCCAATGCAGTAATGGAT